CAGGACTTGCAGCAGTTTTGATTTTTACTGCGGAAGTCCATCCCCCTGTTTCAGTGCTCTGCACAGTTGCAGTGAGGCAGACGGCTTGCCTGCAGCTCTGCAGCTGGAAGGAGAAGAACGCAGGGCTGCATCCTCTTCTGGGCTCAGGAAAAGTCTCTGTGCTTCAGTACCGATGATGAAATCCCATCCTGAGTGTGTGGCTCACCACTGCTTTGTTCTGCTGCCACTGACCATAAGCAGAGCCTGTCCCAGCCCCGAGCAAACTGCCCCAATTCTTAGTGTGATGCTGCTGCCCAGCGACAGATCTGCAGTGCATCCAGAGCAGTGTTGCAGAAGGATGGAGGTGCTGGGAGGGTTTTTCCGTCCCCATCCACCAGACTCGGGCCACAAGCCGAGTACCAGAGCCACGCATTGTCCCCACCAGGTCACCCTGTGTGCTTGTGCTGATCTCCCTGTGCCATCCTCACAGGTGTCCTCCTGTTTGACGGCCATCGCCAAGACGGACCCTGAGGCAGAGGTGCGGAGAGCAGCTGTGCATGTGGTGGTGCTGCTGCTGCGGGGGCTCAGCAAGAAGGCAACCGAGGTGGGTCCCTTCCCACTGCATGGTGCCCCTCGGGAGTGTCCCCCACCCCAGTGACAAGGAGGGCAGCAGGGATGGGGCTGGGTGTGCATGTGGGGGAACTTTCTCTTGCAGGCAGTTCCCCTCAAGCTGGGGATGCCCCCCTACTCTTAGGGGCTGTTGCATCCAGCACCACCTCAACATGTCCCCGTGCTGGTGGTGGCTGTGCTCGCCCTGAGGGCCCCCTCCTGCTCCACAGTGCCTCCCAGTTTCCTGGCAGCAGTGTGTGGAGCAGCTGCAGTGAGTTAGGAGAAAATTAACTGAGCTATAATTACCTGAACAGCTGCAGGCTCTCTGCCTGTGTTATTGCTGATTCTGGTGTGAGCAGCAGCGTGTACCATGTTCCTGGTGGGAACAGCCTGGAGAGGGCTGGGCTGGGTGCACCAACTCATCCTCTTATAAACAGTGCTCTCAGCACCAGCACAGCCAGTGTCAGGAAGAGCCCAGTTGGGCAAAGCCCTTCTAAGTTCCTAATTGCAATTGTTTCTGTTTCTTTGCACCAAAACTGCCCTTTTCATCTATTCCCTCCATTCTCACCCTCCCTGTAGAAGGAGCGAGCAGAGGAGCACACTGGGAGAGGCAAGAGCAGCTCAGGATCAGCGTGCAGCCATTTGGGGACACACCAGTCCCTGGTGCATTATTCTGCCAGTCCACCATGGGGCACGAGTGGGTTGGGGACTCTGATAGCCCCTCTGATTGCAGGACCCAAGCTGGGGGCAGTAAGGACACAGGCGTGTGGCGCAGTGATGTTTTTGTGTCACAGTCTTGATTTACTTCATCTTCCCCAAACCACATAGAACATCTTTCACTCATGGCTCCTCCTGAGCCCACGTCTGCTTGTCTCAGCAAACCAACTGCCTCAGAACCTCTCCCAGGTGCTGCCTATGGGTGCTTGGTGCCAGTGTCCATGTCCTTGTGCTCAACCACTGAAGAGTAACCAGCACATCATCCTCCTTCCTGGGGCAGAGGGGCCACGATGACAAACAATATCCTGAGAAGCTCTGGGAAGTTGCCCTTGGAGCCCTGGTGATGGATACTTTGACCTGGAAAGGACCAGGTTTCCTTAGGTCATCGTTGCCTTCCTCCCTCCTTCCCAGCAATGAGTGTGTTGGGACTCAGTTCCTAGGAAGGAAGCAGCTGGTTCCCATTTGGAATCCCCAGCAGCTCTGCTTCCTGCTGTGTCCCTGTGCAGGCAGTGACTCTGTGCCCCATGCTGTCACTGGGGCTGCTCACGGGGCCTCATCCTATGGAGGGGCTGAGGGTGCTGCTCCCTCCCAGGGCTTGGTGCTGCAGTCTCGTGGCTGTCCTCAACTGCTGTGCCCACCGGGTTTGCTGCCGGGGCTGCCCAGCTTGCACCCGTGTCCCGCAGCCTCGCAAGGATCTAGGGGCTTGGGGAGATCATGCAGTGCTGCCTGCATGTGGGGAAACTGAGTCACGGGAGGGGAGGGCTGTGAATCAGCAGTGCGGCGGGGCCACGTCCCGCTGCTGGCCAGGTGGATGGGCCACCTGCCGGGACACGCCACGCACTGTGTTTGGGGCTCACCCCGGGTGCTGAGGAGGCCCCAGCGGGTTCTGACTGCTGCCCGCTCTCCCCAGGTGCTGCAGGACGTGCTGCGGGACCTGTACCGCCTGCTGAAGCACGTGGTGGCAGCTGAGCCCGACGGTGCGGCCGTGCTGCACGCCCAGCTGGCACTGGAGGAGCTGGACACAGCCATGAGGAGCGTCCTCTTCCCTCCACAGGTGCTGGAAAAGAAAATCGTGGTGCTGCCATAGCGGGTGCCGGGAGCCAGAAAGCCACTTTTCCTGCTCCGGTGCTGTGTCAATTTGCTCCCTGGAGGAGACGTGTTTGCTGTGCCCCTGGGCTGCCTTCAGCAGGTGTCAGCCATGGTGTAACCACAGCGGTGCTGGGGGCACGTAGCATCTCCAGTGCCCCTCATCCAGGGCAGCATGGGGGGGTGACATTAAAAGGAGAAATCCTCTGCTGTGTGTTGTCTGTTTCTGGGAGCCACACAGTGCCCTGGTGCCATCTGAGCTGTGAGACACGTGGAGAGCCCCTGGGTACTGGGGGATTTGGGGTGTCAGGACCCTGGAATGGCCAGGGGTGTTCAGCCCTTCAGTCCCTGGGGTTCCTGTGGGCATCAAGAGGCATTTATGGGCCAAGGGAAAAGATATCTGGAAGCAGCAGCCAAATCAGATTCAAAATGTAATTTTATCCATATTTGAGTGATTTTCCCAGGAGAAAATAAGGAAAAGGAGATGGTATTACTAACCTCCTGTACCCCACCAGCACTGGAGACATTCTGCCTATTTGACAGCGCTGTGGACCTGCACTGGAGCTCCTCTGTGCTCAGGGGGCTGCAGGCCCTCACAGTAAACCAGTGTTTGGGAGCATTCTAGCACTGGGGTCATCCCTCTCCCTCTTTCAGGGCAGCCCCCAGGGGTACCCCAGCAAGGGGGACATCCCAACCCTGCAGCATCACTGCACATCCTGAGCAGAGTGGGTGAACAGGGCAGGGGGCTGCAGGATCACAGCAGGGTATCCGGGGGTCCGGCACCCTGCAGCAAACCAGCGTTCAGCCACCCCCAGCCAGGGCTGCACAGTGCTGCTGCACCACAGCCCCGCAAGGTTGGGGTACCGGGCTGCATCCCCACCCCCAGCAAAGCCACCAGCGCCGTGCCGTGCCGTGCTGGGTGTGTGTGTGTGGCCAGGAGCGCATTGTCCTCGTTGGCGGACCGGCGCTCCTCTGCGCTGTCACCACCGCCAGCCGCTGCCGGCGTTGGGCTGCGGGCGCACGCCGGGATGCAGCCGTACCGGCTGTGCTTTGCCAGGGCCTGGAGCAGACGGCCAGAGGAAGGGTTTGAATGAGAAGTCTGTATTAATGCAGCTCCCTGGGCGTCTGACTGCAATTCTGCCGCTGCGAACAAGGAGATTTCTGTGCCGAAGGAGGAGGAAATTTTATTTATACCTTGGGAAGCACTCGTGCGGGGAGAGCACCCGGGAGCTGCGATCACACTGAAAGGTAACGGGGCCGCAGCGTAACCCCAGCGCTGGGCACCTGCAGCGGGGCGCGGTGTGCACCCTCCTGTCCCCGTCCCTTCCCTGCAGTGCCGGGACACCCCGTGCCCCAGCAGCAGGGACTCAGATGCGACCGTTTGGTGCCACGTGGGAGCCCGACAGCAGTGCGGGGGTCCCAGCTCGTCCCACCGTGCGCGGGGGACCCCCGGGGTCCGCCCAGGGAGTGTCCCCTTGGAGGGCGGCACCGAGCCCTGCACCCAGCCTGGGAGGAACCCAAAAGTGCGGGATCTGAGCCCAAAGAGGAAAGGCTGCGGCTCGGCGGGGTCCATTCCGGGGCTGGAGGTGCCTTGCCGTCAGCCTGGCACGGGGACATCGCGTGTGATGGGCGCAGGTCTTCCGTTCTTGAGGGGCTACGGGGACAGAATGACAGCACGAAGTGTCCCCGTGTGTCCCCGGGAGGCGGTGGCTGATGGCTACGGAGGGGACGCGGGGAGGTGGGGAGGGTCCTGGAGGACGGCACGGGGCTGGTAGATCCGTGTCCCCGGGTTTCCCAGCTGTCCCCGGCTGACGGGTGGGGACGGACCCGGCGCCCGGTGCATCCCGCAGTGCGGGGCCGGTGCCGGGCGGGTCCCGGGGGCTGCGGGCGGGGCCAGGGGTGGTGCCGGGGGTGCTGGTGCCGGGGGTGCCGGTCCCGGTGCCGGGCGGAGACCCCGCGGGCTGCGGGCGGTGCCGGCCCCGCCGCGGTATAAAGCGGCCGCGCGGGCCGGGCCGGGCGCACAGCGGCGGCGGCGGCGGCCGGGGCGAGCGGCACCACCGGCACCGGTACCCGCACCGGTAGCAGCACGGTGAGTCCCGGTACGGTCCCTCCCCTCCTCCTTCCTCCCTCCCTCCCAGCCCCGCCGGTGCCAGCCCGGGGCTCCTCCGCCCCCGCGGCTCTGCAGGACCGCCCGCGGCCCCCCCACAGCGCGGAGCGGCACCGGGGGCCGCGGGGCGGGGAAGGACCGGGAGCGGCGGGGCGCTGCGGAGCCCCCGGGAAGCGCTTCCCGCCCCCGCCCCCTCCCTCAGCCCCGGGCTCCCCCGGCCCCGCGGCGCAGTCCCTGTCCCGCAGTTGGGGTCGAGGACCAGGGAGGGGCCGAGCCGGGTCCCGCAGTACGAGGACCGGGGGTCCCGGGGCTGTTCCTGCCCCCCGGGGTCAGCCCGCTGCCCGTTGTTCCCGTGCCCTTCCCTGTCCTCCAGCCCAGCCCCGCAGGGCTGCGGGTGGGGAAATCCCAACTGCGTGGGGATGAGGTTCACGTGGGCTGGGAGACCACCCGGTCACTGTGCCTGCATCGCGCTGCCCCCTGGGTGGTGGCCGTGCCCTGACTGTCCCATCCCACCCAGATGCCAGTGAGCCTCTCCACGGCGCTGCGTGTCGTCGGGACCAGCCTCTTCGCGCTGGCGGTGCTGGGGGGCATCCTGGCCGCCTATGTCACCGGGTACCAGTTCATCCACACGGAGAAGCACTACCTCTCCTTTGGGCTCTACGGGGCCATCCTGGGGCTGCACCTCTTCATCCAGAGCCTTTTTGCTTTCCTGGAGCACCGACGCATGAGGGCTGAGGGACAGCCGGTGCGATTGGGCCGCTCCGTGGCCCTCTGCATCGCCGCCTACCAGGAGGATCCCGATTACCTGAAGAAGTGCCTGCGCTCTGTCAAGCGCATCGCCTTCCCTGACCTCAAAGTGGTGATGGTGGTGGATGGCAACAGCCCGGATGACACCTACATGCTGGACATCTTCCACGATGTGATGGGCTCCGAGCGCGTGGGCAGCTACGTCTGGAGGAGTAACTTCCACGCACGGGGCGAGGGCGAAACAGAGGCTGGGCTGCAGGAAGGGCTGGCCCACGTGCAGGCTCTGGTGCGCGGCACCACATACTCCTGCATCCTGCAGAAGTGGGGCGGGAAGCGCGAGGTGATGTACACGGCCTTCCGGGCACTCGGAGACTCCGTGGACTACATCCAGGTGGATGTGGGGTCCAGGCGGGTGGGGGGGGGGACATGCAGGGTGATCTGGGGACTCACGGGGTGCGGCGCCGCGTGGGAGAGCTCAGTGTTGCTTCCTTGGTGCATCCCCTACTGCGTGCCGGTGTCACCCGGGGGACACCGTGCAGCACCGCATGGGGCCCAGACCCCCATGCATGGGTTGGGGTCAGCCGGGGTGTCCCACCGCGATGCCATTGACCAGAACTGGGTGTCCTGGGGCAGCGGTGTCCGGCACCGCGGAGCGCTCCGCTCCCCTCACCGCCCGCTGCTCTGCGGGCTCTGCCTCGTCTCGCCGGCCGTGGCTCAGGCTTGCCTGGCTGGGGCTGGGCTGTCTGCCGGGTGCATGTGGGCGGCAGAGCGGGGCTCGACGTTGCCTCTGCCCCCAGGTGTGTGACTCAGACACAGTGCTGGACCCCGCCTGCACCGCCGAGATGCTCCGCATCCTGGAGTCCGACCCCCGTGTCGGTGGCGTCGGTGGCGATGTCCAGGTATGGCGGTGGGACAGAGAGGGGGCGCACGGGGCACCGCTCTTGCATTGGTGGCACTGACCCCATCTCCTCCGCAGATCCTGAACAAGTACGACTCGTGGATCTCCTTCCTGAGCAGCGTGCGGTACTGGATGGCCTTCAACGTGGAGCGTGCCTGCCAGTCCTACTTCGGCTGCGTGCAGTGCATCAGCGGCCCGCTGGGCATGTACCGCAACGCGCTGCTGCAGCAGTTCCTGGAGGACTGGTACCACCAGACCTTCTTGGGCACCAAGTGCAGCTTTGGGGACGACCGGCATCTCACCAACCGCGTGCTCAGCCTGGGCTACCAGACCAAGTACACAGCACGCTCCCGCTGCCTGACGGAGACGCCGACACGCTACCTGCGCTGGCTCAACCAACAGACCCGCTGGAGCAAGTCCTACTTCCGTGAGTGGCTCTACAACGCGCTGTGGTTCCACAAGCACCACCTCTGGATGACCTACGAGTCGGTGGTGACCGGCTTCTTCCCCTTCTTCCTCATCGCCACCGTCATCCAGCTCTTCTACCGCGGGCGCATCTGGAACATCCTCCTCTTCCTGCTGACGGTGCAGCTGGTGGGCATCATCAAGGCCACCTACGCCTGCTTCCTGCGTGGCAGTGCTGAGATGATCTTCGTCTCCCTCTACGCCCTGCTCTACATGTCCAGCCTGCTGCCCGCCAAGATGTTTGCCATCGCCACCATCAACAAGTCGGGCTGGGGCACGTCGGGCCGCCGCACCATCGTGGTCAACTTTGTGGGGCTGCTGCCGGTGTCGGTGTGGGCGGCCGTGCTGCTGGGCGGCCTGGCCTACACAGCCTACAGCCAGGACCTGCTCAGCGACACCGAGGTTGCCTTCCTCGTCTCGGGTGCCGTCCTCTACGCCTGCTACTGGGTGGCCCTGCTGACGCTCTACTTGGCCATGGTGGCGCGGCGCTGCGGGAAGCGGCAGGAGCAGTGCGGGTTGGTCTTTGCCGAGGTGTGAGGACGCCGTGAGTCCCCTCGCGGTTGGCGCTGACCCACCGGTGGCCACCCGGCTGCTGCTCCCTGCGTGCGGCAGCGCTGAGCGCACCCCAAGGTCAGCATTTGTGATCAAGTCTTGCTTTTTTTTTTTTTTTAATTGCGGTTGTTTTCTTTTTTTCCTTTTTAATTATTTTTAATTTTTTTTGTTGTTGTTTTCTGTAAAACTCAGCCCCGAGGGTGCTAGCGGCCGCGCCGGGGCTGTATGGAGCTGTGCTTGGCACAGCCTTGGTGCTGCAGGGTCCTTCCTTGTGCCACGCTGAGCATTTCGCTGCCTTGGTGTGAGGGCACAGCGGGAGCTCCGCTGGTTGGGCTCCCCCTGCCCTGCTGGGCCCCATCCTTTGGTGCTTTCCTGGGACCCCCGATGTCCCCCCCGTGGCACTGTGGAGGATGGACCCCACGTGTCCAGCCAGGTGCTGAGCTGTGATGCTCAATGCTGCTGGAGTTGCTGCACCCCAGGATTTTTTCCCCACCATCCCTGTGCAGCCCCTGCATGGGCGGGAGCCGGCTGCAGGCTCAGCCCCCTCTCTGCCATGATTTAGGGACAGAAATTGGATTTCATCCCAACGTTGGCACCACGTCGCTCAGGTGCTGTGCCAATGCCAGGCACCGCTGGCTGGTGCTGCCAGCTGGGCCCACCCACGGGGGCTCAGCATCCCCTGCTCTGTCTCCATGGAGCTCTGAATGTCCCCAAAAGCCACCCACCCCCATCCCCATGGCTGTGTATGTGCGGGCATGTACCCACAGCTCCCTCCAACTCCATTCTGGGGATCTGGCTGCCCCAGGAGGGCAGCTCCTCTGTTGTGCTTTGCCAAAGAGCATGTGGAGGGGGCACTGGCACCCCATTTTTGTGCCCGCAGCCTGGGCAGAAGCAGAAAAACCCGGGCCGTGGGTCAGCTGAAGCATGGGTTGCTGATGGTCTGGCCAGCCCACGGCACCATAAAGAAGCCAACCACGTCCCGGCTTCCTGCCAGCTGCCTTCTCCACCGCCCCTCCTCTGCCCCCTAGCTCTAGAAGCGAGGAGGGAACCTGGCATCCGTCTAGACAGCGGGGAGGCGCTGGGTTTTAGGTCTGGGCATGCAGAGGAGGGCGGGGAGAGCCAGTTCCCAGCCTTTCCCTGCCCACTGTGTCCCCCTGGGTATTTACCCACGGCCATCTCCCCTGGGCCCTCTTTTCAGGGCTAAAACCTTTGTACAAGTCAGGCTTTTTATTTAAGATGGGATTTTTTAGGAGACTTTTGTAGCTCTTTTCGTATTTACACTTTATTGCTGATTGTTTGTAAATCTATTTATTTTTTAACTCCTATTTTTTTCATATTTTGAGAGGTCTGTTTTTTATATCCTGGTGGATTTGACACAATAAAGACTTGCACAGACAAAACATGGTGTGTCATCCCTGCTCCCCCTGCCTGACTCCACGTGGGCTCCCAGTCTGGGGAGACTCGAGGGGGGAAGGTGCTAAAACAGAAGTGATAGACCCTGTCTGCAGCTCTGCTGGCTGCAGGAGTGACTTTAGAAGGGAACATGAGGAGGCAGCCAGCTTGAGAGTGTGCCCAAGCCATACCTGGCACAGGCAGGAGGATGGGCAGAGCTGGCAGCACGATGTGCATGGCTGCAGAGCTGAGTTCTGGTGCTTGGGCAGTGCTGGTGGCACATCATGTGCAGCCCCCATTAGGGGCACAGCCTGGCCCTGCAGGATGCCCCTTGCCTAAGATGGGCGCTGTGTTCATGCCCCAGCTGTCCTCAGCAGTGTCACAAAGGAAAAGCATTGCTCCCGTGGCAGCAGGTCTGTGTCCTCACACCTTCTTGGGCACGTTGGTGATGATGGGTTTGGGCCGCGTTTTGAAGAGCAGCTTGGTCTTGATGAGGGCGGTAACAGCGTAGCGCGTCCCTGCAGGGTCGGCTGCCTGCTTCATCAGGACAGCAAAGGGCTTCTCCAGCTGCACCACCTTCCCATAGAGGATGTGGTGACCCACGATGAGCACGGGGATGCCCTGCATGGGAGGAGTGGGGTGAGGACGGCCCTGTGGGCATCGCCGCCCCACAGCCCGGGCTCACAGAGCGCTGCTCACCTCCCGTGTGTAGTGCAGGTCTCCCAGCAGACTCCCAGGCAGCGCACCGCCACCACGCGGCTCCACCTCTCCCTGCAGCTCCACCAGCACCCAGCGCTCCAGGCTGCCTGCACCAGCACTGCCAGGGAGAGGAGTGGTGTCGCCCACCGGGCACAGGGCACCCGAGCATGGCAGGCCCAGGCCCTCACTCACCTGGAGATGATGAGCTGCACCATAATGTGGGCTCTGCAGAGCTGCTGTCACTGCAAGGGGATGGGATGGGAAGAGCCCTCAAGCTGCTGCGTGATACTGGGACCCCCATCTCCTCAAACCCATGCCCTGAACCGTCCCACATCCCCTGTGCCATGATCCTTTCCTATGTCCCAATGAATCTACTAAGCCAACGTTCCCATACCAACTCCATTCAAAGCCCCACTATACTCAGCTGCCCCCTGTGCCTTGCTTTGCCCCCATAACCCCACACCCCACCAAACCCTCAGCGCCCCGAGCACCATACCTCCCATCATATCCAGCTGCTCCCTATGCCTTGATGCCCTCCCCATGCTCTAAATTCCTCCCCATGCCCACACCCCACCGAATCCTCTACGCCCAGAGCCCTGTACCCCAAAATCGCACCGCCCCCCCCCCGCCCCCTGGGGGGCCGCGGCCCCCTCTCACCCCCCCCCCCCCCCCCCGCCCCCCCCCGCGCGCGCAGCCCTTTGCCCGCCCCGCTGTTCCGTCCCGGCTGGGTGCCGCCCGCCTCGCTCCGCACCCCCGGCTCCGCTCCCACCGCCCGGCACACCCGAATCTCCCGCCGTTCTGCTCTGCCCTTCCGCTTCCAGGTACTGGGGATCGCTTCCGCTTCCGGGAGCGCGGCGCCGCACGTGGGGCCCGGCAGGGCGGAGCGGAGCGGGGCCGGGAGCCGCGATGGGGGAGTTTGAGGTGCACCGCGTCCGGTTCTTCGAGCTGGTGCCCGCCGGCGTGCGCTGCATGGCCTACCGGCACCGCGGCTGCCGCCTGGCGCTCGCCCGCACCGACGGCGCCGTCGAGGTGTACAACTTCGCCGCTAATTACTACATGGAGAAGGTGGGCGGGGAATGCGGGGAGAACGGGGAGGACCAGGCCGGGCGGTGGTGGTGGTGGGGAGTCTGGGTGGGAAGGCAGGAGGTGGGAGCGGGGCTGGGTGATGGAAGGGAGACGGAGGGAGAGCGGGGAGAACTGGGCTGGGGGCTGAGGGTAACGAAGGGGAGAACTGGGCGGGGTGATAGATGGGAAACCGGGGGTGAATGGTGGGGATGGTGAGTGGAGGGTGATGGTGGAGGACCGGCGGGAAACCTGGTCATGTGACAATGTGGAACCGGGGGTTATTGAGAAGAGCACGGCTGGGGTGTTAACAGGAACTCGGGAGGAACCGGGGTGTGGGGTGACAGGGGAGAAGCAGCAGGGAACCAGGGGCCACGGGGTTGGGGGCGGTGGGGATACGGGTGGAACAGAGCCGTGGTGATGGGGCCTGCTTCCCTAGGCCATCCCCGGGCACCAGGCACGCTCAGTGGAAGCGCTGTGCTGGGCAGCAGGGGAGCGGCTCTTTGGGGCCGGCCTGAGTGGGGACATCACTGAGTATGACCTGGAGCGGCTGCACCCGGCCCGCGCTGTCGATGGCTTCGGGGGACCCATCTGGAGCATGGCTGCCAACAACGATGGCACACGGCTGGCGGTGAGCAGCAGGGATGGGGCTCACAATGGCAGAGGAGCTGCCACCTCCAGGAGCTGATCCTTACACCCCCAATCCCTAGATTGGCTGTGAGGACGGCTCGGTGAAGCTCTTCCAGGTGGTGCCTGGGGGTGTTCAGTTTGAGAAGAACCTGGACCGGCAGAAAGGTGAGTGTGGGGGGCTCTGCAGGGCCATCCCCTTGTCTATTCCTCGTGCCATTCTGGTCACCGAAAGGCTGCTGTGCCCTGGAGCACACCTGGAGCTTCCATCTCTACAGGACGTGTGCTGTGCCTCTCCTGGCATCCCTCGGGGACCCACCTGGCAGCTGGCTCCATCAACTTCATCCGTGTGCTCGATGTCCGCTCAGGTAATGAACTGCCCCAGATTGGGGCATTGCTCCTTGGAGCAGCCTTCAGGTGTCAGCCTGCGGTGTCCCGTGTCCTGGGGCACCATCAGCAGCCACAAGTCTATGCTTTGGGATGTCTGCCTGGCACTGCCACAGCTCCCAGCCTGGGAGTCCTGCAGCACACAGGACACAGGGAAAGGACAAAGTGAGGAGCCTGAGGTCATCCCACTCTCTCCCCATCTTGAACAACCCTTCCCTACCTCAGGCCGAACAGCCCAGAGGATCATGGTGAACTATCATATGCCAAAGTCCAAGAAGCGCGAGTGCGTTGTGTGGAGCATCGCCTTCCTGTCGAGTGGCACCGTCATCAGCTCGGATTCATTTGGGAGAGTGCAGTTTTGGGACTGGGAGCGAGGGACTCTGCAGGACTCCCACACTGTCAGCACCTCAGCTGCACTCTCGCTGGCTGTGTCAGAGGTGAGGTCACCCTGGGCCAGGACAGCAGTGCCAGCACCCAGGTGGTATCCATCGCTGTGCCCTGTGATCAGCAGCCCTCTCTTTCTCCCAGGAAGAGGACAGCATTGTGGTGGGCACCTCGGCGGGGGCCACTTACCAGTTCCAGCTGCTGCCAGTGAAGGCAGGAGGCCAGGAGAAGCGCTGGGTGAAGACGAAGCCATTCCAACATCACACCCACGACGTGCGAGCTGTGGTGCACACCCCGACAGCTCTCATCTCTGGAGGTGAGGGCTGTGTGGGGAAGCTCGATGGGTGCTCCCCCTTCCCTCCTGTTCCTCCCCTCCCCCTCTTCTCTTCCCTCCCCCCCGTCCTCCCTTCCCCTCCTCTCCCCCCTCTCCAATAGTTGCTTGTATGAGCTCCACTTGGTTTCCAGGCCTGGATGCCCAGCTGGTGATCCGCCCGCTCATGGAGAAGGTACAGAAGAAGGGCTACGACACAGCGCTGAGGAAATTCACCCTTCCCCACGTGAGTGTGGCTCTAAGCAGGGTCCTGTGGTGGCTCCTGGGGCCATGAGGTGAGCTCTGTGGGAGCAGCCAGGCTCTGCCTGCCCCTCTGGGTGCCCTCCTGGCCCTGGCATGTCTGTGGGCTCCTGTGATGCAGTGAGATGGAGAGTAGAGTTGATGAGCCTGTCCTACTGGTCCTGCTGCGGCTCCCTCTCCTGGTTCACATCCCATAGAACCTGGGTTGTTGCTTGCTGGCAGCCCAAGCCATTGCAGCTTTGGACCAACCCTTTCTGCCAGGCTGTGGTCCATGACAATGTGCCCGTTTCTGCCTGCAGCGACGCATTGTCTCCTGTGCCAGGAAAGCCCGGCTCCTCCTCTTCCAGTTCTCCCAGCACCTGGAGCTCTGGAGACTTGGCTCTACTAATAAAACTGGTACGTCTGCTGGTGTCTGTTGGGTACAGACCTCTGAGTTTAACTCCAGGGCAGTGTCTGGAGGACTACAGGGTGCAATCTGCCAGGGCAGTGGAGGAATGGTGCAGCCCAGCTTTGCTTATGGCTGTGTTACCCAGTGCTGTGCAGGACCATGGTGCTGCTGGCAACATACTCTTCTTGCTGAGCTGGGTGGTGCCCTGAGGAACTTAGCCTTAAGGCGGCCAGGGAAGGGTCTGGATCCATCCTGGTGTCTGGCATCACGCCCTCTGGGTCCCCTGCTATTCTCACCAGGGCCTGTATAGTTTCTGTTGTTACTGATGTTTGTCTGTCATTCCAGGAAAGGATGGAGAGGTCCTTCCCGTGAGCCGCATGCCGGAGCACCTCCTGCAGCTCAAGAGCAAGGTAAGACTGAACTGGAGTTGGCACCTGTGCTTGGCAGCTTTGCTTCCTCCGATGGCCAAGTTGCGAGTGCCAGGGTGCTCTGCAGACCCCACTCAGCACCTCCACATCTCCAGGGTCCTGAGCACATCTGCTGCAGCTGTGTCTCACCCTGTGGCAGCTGGATTGCCTACAGCACTGCGTCTCGCTTCCACCTCTACCGTGTGCAGCACGAGGGCGACGGCATCAGCGTCAAGAAGGTGAGGGCTGGGGGGTCTCGCAGGGAGCTGGGGCTGCTGGTGGCACAGTGTGTGGGTCAGCAGCAGTGGGGCTGCTTGTCAGCAGTGTGACTGCCAGTGCTGCCTTCTCCACCTGCAAGGTCCCTGGCGTGCCCAAGCTGCTGCTCCCGGCCTACCAGCTGCAGTGTGCTTCCGACTCAGGCAGACTCTTCATCGCCTCTGACAGAGGCTCTGTCCATGTGGTGCAGCTGTTGGAACTGGGAGGTTGCAAACACCTGCACACGCTGCGCCCACCTGCAGGTAGGGAGCAGGCACTGTGGCCCCTGTGGGCACACGGCTGAGGGTGCTGCCCTAGATCTGGAACACCTTGGAGTAGTTTAAGGTGCCTGAGAGCATGGGGGTGAAGATGGAGAGCATTTCTGGGTACTTGTGTGTCCTGACTGTGACTGTGTAGCATTTTCTTGTGTCTGTGTAGCAATTGTGTGTGTGTTGTTCAGGGACCAGGGAAGCTGTCTACCTGCTGGCAGTGAGTGCTGATGGGAACTGGCTGGCTGCGGTCAGCGGGGACTGGGAGGTGCATGTCTACAGCCTGAAACACTTCAAGGTACAGGCAGGGCTCTGTGTGGGGCCCTCTGCGGTGTCCCTGGAGCCGGGCACTGGGGGAGGTACCGGCGAGTGGCCGAGGACACGTGGGGCAGTGTTGTCCTTCTGCCTTTCAGCACCACTGCACGGTGCCCACCTACAGCTGCGCGGTGACAGCCCTCGCCATCCACCCAGCAACCAACAACCTTTTTATCTCCTACTCGGACCAGCAGGTGGGAGCTGTGCCTGCGGCAGCCGCGTGCTGCTTGGGATCGGCTGTGTGTTGGCATTGGGCTGATGATGGGGACCCATCTTCTCTCCTGTGCCACAGCTCTTTGAGTTCAGCATCCCTGAGAAGCAGTACACGGCCTGGAGCCGCGCGGTGCAGAACAACGGGCTGCACAGGCTCTGGCTGGAGAGGGACTTGCCCATCACCCACATCGCCTTCAACCCGAAGAACACCTCGCAGGTCCTGCTGCACGATGTCTACATGCTGTGTGTCCTTGACAAGTCCCTGGTGAGCTGAGAAGGGCACTGCTGGAGCTTCGCAGGGGTTGCTTGTGCTGGTTCAAAGGGAAGGGCGGGTGGTGTGCGGTACTTCAGGGGGTGGGCACAGGGTTTGGTGCCCAAGCTGCAGCACTGACACGGGCCGTGCCCGCAGCCCCTGCCCGACAACAACGCCCTGCTGATGAACCAGAGCACCCTGAAGCAGCTCTCGGAGCCCGCCCGGCGCCGGCAGCTTCACGCCTTCAAGATCTGCAAGAAGTTCCAGGTGGGCGGCGCGGTCCCTGCGTGCATCTCATACCCGGGAGCGCCCTTGGCACCGCTGCCTTCGGTGCTCTGTCGCGTTCCCTGCACTCACACAGTTGTGCCCACAGCCGCTGCTGTTCGCGGACCTTCTGGACGAGCGCTGCCTGGTGACGGTGGAGCGGCCCGCCGTGGACATCAACGCGGAGCTTCCGCCGCCCGTGCAGCAGAAGAAGTTCGGCACTTAGCGCCGGCCGCCTCAATAAACGCGCTGTTCTCACGCCGCGGTCCCGCGCCTCGTCCTTACCGGAGCACCAAATCCCCGCCTCCCCCGCCCCCAGTCCGCGGCGCGCTGCCCCGCCGCCGCCTCCCGCCCTCGCCAATCGGAACGCTGGAAGGGCCCCTCGCCCCGCCCCTCG